AGAGCCACAAAACTGTCTTTGTGCTTTCTGAGAACTTTGTGAAGAGTGAGTGGTGCAGGTACGAGCTGGACTTCTCCCATTTCCGTCTCTTTGATGAGAACAATGACGCTGCCATTCTTGTGCTTCTGGAGCCCCTTGAGAAAAAGGCCATTCCCCAGCGCTTCTGCAAGCTGCGGAAGATCATGAACACTAAGACCTACCTGGAGTGGCCCAGTGACGAAGCTCAGCAGGAAGGGTTCTGGTTAAATCTGAGAGCTGCAATAAAGTCCTAGGCTTGTATTAGGGGCTAGTCTTGGTCTAGTTGTGGGCTTTCTATCGCTAGTTGTACCGAAATTCATTCTGATATGATTGTATAAAAACCACGTGAATGTACCGTCATTTGAGGACTTTGCTTATTAAAACTACTAAAACTTCTTTTACTCAAGTGCTGTTTTATAAAAACTGAACTGAAGATTTCCAAAGACTGTGTCAAGTCGGTCGGCTTTCTGTGAAGAGACTCACCTGTGGCTACACAGGGCATTCTCCACACAACCCAGATGGCACTTCTCTATGTGACTGCTCACAAGAGCAGCATGGCAAAACGTTTGGGGCATTCAGCCACACTTGTTGCTTTTCCTAGAAAAAAGTGCTGTCTGTCCCCATCTACCTTTACAGGATGCAAAATATCCAGAGGGTATATTTTCATGGGAACTGGGTCTTTTTTGGGTATTTGATAGGTTCCTCCAGCCATAGACTTGAGAGACTTGTGTACATAACACAAGGTACAGTAAATGGTATCTTTCCACAAAAACAAAACTACTCAGGTAAATAAAATACTCAGTTTAGAAGAAGTTGAAAGAAGCCTCCCCTGTCCTAACTCTCATCTTCCTCAGCCTTCAACCACTTGTTAAGTTCCAACTAGTGTTAGTTGCTCTGGCTCTCAGTTCCTGTTTTCTAGTCTACCTTCCGTATTTTGTGGCTTTTTTCTTCTTTGAAGTCGTCTTGTTTCTAATTCTAATAAGGCCTTCCTTTTCTTTTCCTTCTGAAAATTTAAAAAAGTACATGTGAGCTAAATAGATCCTTAAAAAAGCATATACCTAGAAGGCCCTCATAATTACTTGAAAATAGTTTGATACACAATAATTTAAAGATAGACACCATATGTTAATTTTTATAATCTAGATTTAATAATAAATTACATTTTGATGGAACATTCTTTGCTGAGAGCTATTTACTGATTCTGTGTGACTTTTTTCTTATGCTGGGAACCGCACATGAAAGGAAGTGAACCCTTTGACCCCTGCTCAACCAGAACTGGGTCTACATGGTCCATTGGTCTCTGGTGGAGAAAGATCTGGGTTAGCAGATGTGTAATCTTAGGCAATTCACTTGACCTGATCCAAAATGTTTTCCTGTCCTTTAAGATGGGGATGCTGATCTTTACACCCTAGGCTATCAAGAGTATGGAATGCGGTAATGGAAGTACACACTGAGCACATACCCCTTGGTTACCATTCCCTCTAGAGGGATGAAGAAGGCAGAAGGACCAGGCCTATGAGAATGGGAACCACAAATGCAGTGTGTGCAGGGTTAGAGATGTGTGTGGTAGATGTTAGCCACCACCATGATTATTATTTTCCAGGAAGTGATTCATTGCTTTATATATTATGACTAGTAAATGGATATTTTTTTCTGTTACGGGTACCAGCAGGGATATGAAAGACCCTACTGTCTGCAGAAGAATACCCCAAAGAAATAAGTTCATTAAGCGCATAGCAGGCATTAGTCCTTGGGGAACTCACACAGTGCTGCTACTCTTATACAAACTCCCAGGACAGCATGATGCAGGAAACAGTAACCAGCCCAAGCAAAAGACGGGCGAGTTCAGAAGAAGGAAACTTGAGTAGAAGCTACAAACACCAAACACAATAATGAACTTTCTGCTTTACTTCTCTTTTTCCTGCCATGTTAATAAAGCACCATGTTAATTATCATGAGAATCAGATAGATTTAAAGTTGACTTGATCTATATACTGAATTTCAAGTCTTTAAAAACAGCAATAGAAATAGCTTTGTGGTGAGCTGATAAATTTAAAATAATCTTTGAAGAATAATCTTTATTTTTTCTTATTGCAAATGTTAAACATGTTCATTGCAGAAATTTTGGAAAAGAGACAAGAACATATAAAAAATAAGAGTCAGCTCTTATCCCATCACTTTAGGGTAAACACTGGTAACTTTGTAGTGTGTAGCTCTCCAATCTTTTTTTCAATGTATATACTACTTTACAAAATTGGTATTAGATTGTAAATACTAACACTGTATAAAGAAAATCACATCTTCACTTTTGTCCCTGAGATTATTTGGTGATTATCTGACATTTCTGAACTCTAAGGGTCATTTTGAATTCTATGCAGAGAAATACTGTTTTTTTTTGCTTAGAGGTCTAACAAGTTCTTAAAACTACCCTCATGCAGCTGTCCATAAAAGGTAAGTGGCAAATACATCAGAGATCAATTTAAGGGTTAAAGATCAATTCTTTCCACAGAAGAAAAACTGATTTTTAGCTAGTGCTTTATCCGAATGTGAGGTCTTTTATTTGTTGATAGACTATGAGCTCGAGAATTCTGTTTTATCTCCTTAACCCTTGAACATGCCTAGCATGTAATAAGTATTGAATTATTGAAATGTTTGCTGTGTAGAGAAATAATCCAGAACTAAATCTTCCAGTAATCTGGATGGTGAACCAATTGTAATATTGAAGCATTGGGCAGTTTGGAGAAGGAAAATTTTCAACAGGTAGAAATCTTAGTATGAGTTATCTTGATGATGGAACTTTGAATAGCATTAAGTGAAGTATGCTGTGAATACCTGGACAAGGAGAACAATTGCTGTATTTCCTTTGTACTTCATACAAGTGTTATGGTTTCATGTATTGCATAGTAGTTGTCTGGTGTTATGTATAGTGTTGGCTGTGTAACAAATGACCAGTAATTTAAAATGAATTAATTTTGGGAGACCAACATATCATTCTTGGGTTAATTCTTTCTGACTGGTCTTCCAGTTAATTTTGTTCCCTTCTGCCAGATTAATTTATTCTGTCAACAGGTATTTATTTAGTTCCTATTATGTGCCAGACACTCCTCTAAGTTCTGGGGATATAGTAGGGAGCAAAACAGATAAAATTCCTTGCCTTCATAGAGTGGAAGACAGACAATAAACAAATAAATTTATGATATGATTCCAGGTATTGATAAATGCTATAAAAAAAATAAAAGCAGAGTCCTGCAATAGAATGATTGAGCATGTCCTTGTGCATGCACATGGGAGTGTGTGTGTGTGTGTGGATGTGAACAGAGCGGCACAAAAGAAGAGACTGATTCTTTCCTCTTTAGTGCAGACCTTGGATAGGTTGAGTGCATTTGGTAGTGCCAGGCACCCCAGAGTAGCTGTGGCCCACTGAGTAGGCATGGCACCCTGTGCCAGAGGCTTTGAGAGTAATCCCCTCTGCAATAGAAGGGCTTTGTGGTGCCAAAGCAGCCATGTGGTGACAAGCACAGAGGGCAGAAAAGACGATATCCTTAAGCCATAGATTACTTGACAATTCTACCTACTTCTTTGAAGATGTTGAACCGATGAAAAGGTATTAATTATAACTAAAAGTCGTATGTGAGAGTACTTTGTAAGCCTCTGAAACACTTAACAGAAGAGATCATTATCAGCCAAACTGGAGGTGGAATGTCCACAATGGAGTGTAACAAATGTGTTGCATACATGGGTTAGAAAACACTTGTAATAAGAAAGATGAAAAAGCACGCTTTGTTTATTCCACTGTTCAGCTTCTCTTTAAATTCATTCCACATAGACAAACTGCTTTAAGCATGACACCAAATTTTACTTAGTTTTCTTAACTCTTAGGAGCATCTCTAAAATTAAAAAAGAATATCAATATTAAATGTAGGACCAAGGATTTTAAGATGTTTCAATCATGCAATACATTGCTTCTGGGGTAGGTTTGCAGTACTATTCCAGTCCTAGAGAATAGTTAATGCCTTGAACTATTGTGGTGACAAGCACAGAGGGCAGAAAAGACGATATCCTTAAGCCATAGATTACTTGACAATTCTACCTACTTCTTTGAAGATGTTGTACCGATGAAAAGGTATTAATTATAACTAAAAGTCGTATGTGAGATACTTTGTAAGCCTCTGAAACACTTAACAGAAGAGATCATTATCAGCCAAACTGGAGGTGGAATGTCCACAATGGAGTGTAACAAATGTGTTGCATACATGGGTTAGAAAACACTTGTAATAAGAAAGATGAAAAAGCACGCTTTGTTTATTCCACTGTTCAGCTTCTCTTTAAATTCATTCCACATAGACAAACTGCTTTAAGCATGACACCAAATTTTACTTAGTTTTCTTAACTCTTAGGAGCATCTCTAAAATTAAAAAAGAATATCAATATTAAATGTAGGACCAAGGATTTTAAGATGTTTCAATCATGCAATACATTGCTTCTGGGGTAGGTTTGCAGTACTATTCCAGTCCTAGAGAATAGTTAATGCCTTGAACTATTCCTATCACCACAGGTTGCCAGGCCACCAAGTAACAAAGCCACTCCAAAATTTGTCCGTACAAACAATGTGTGTGCTCCCAGCTAAATCTCTGTTAAGGAGGTTGTTTTATATACAACCAAGTAGCAGAAATATTCATAAATATCATTTGCAAATGTAATAAGCAATGTATGTGTATTTCCTTTCTTGTTAATTCTATGTGCTCAAAATCCTTTACATGATTTTTATAGCATTATGGTTATCATTGTTATTTACAGAACATCCAATTTCTGAAAATAAATTGAGACTGTTTACAATAAAATCCAAAACTATAAAACAAGAATAAAGTCAAGGGTACATGCTAAAAGAAAGAGGAAGAAGGAAATGACTATATTGGAAAACCAAGGATAGTGGGAGCTGCTATAAATGAGCAAAAACTTAGCTCCAGGCTTTCCTGTAGCCGGCACCTCACAGGGAACTCATCGTATACCAGCACGAGTTCATCAGATAAGACATACCTTTTTCTGGGC